CCATCACCTCCACCACCACCACCTCCACTACCACCATCACCACCACCACCTCCACCACCACCACTACCACCATCACCACCACCACCATCACCACCTCCACCACCACCAGCACCACCTCCACCACCTCCATCATCACCACATCCACCACCACCACCACCACCACCACCTCCACCACCACCACCACCACCTCCACCATCACCACCACCACCTCCACCATCACCACCACCACCTCCACCATCACCACCACCACCAGCAGCACCAGCACCACCACCAGCAGCAGCGGTGGCTCTCTGTGGCTCAGAAACACATAGACTGCAGTGCCACCAGGGGAGAGGCACGGTGACCAGAATCCATGGGAGGGCACCAACAGCAGCCCACTTCTGTGACCCCTCCCCAGCCGGTCGCACAGCAGGTCTCACACGGCCTGACTCAACCCTCGGAGCAACCCAGGGAGAGGTGTGGTTTCCAGCCAACAGATGGGGAAACTGAGGCAGAAAGATTTGCCTAAGACACAGCAGAGCTATGTGGTGGAAATTTGCTCTGCCAGTACCACAGCAGGGCCTGTGGCTGCCCCTTTCCTCATTCTAGCTCAGGATTGGGGGGACCCACATCCAGACCACACGTCTCCTTGCTGACCCGTGGCTGCACGCTGAAGACGTACATACACTTCTCTTACCTGCATCAAAACCCATCTGCTGATTTTTAAAGAGAGGCAGGAGGAACCAAGCCAACTACCCCCGGACGAAAGGCAGGAGGCAGCTGGGTTTCAGAGCAGCTGGCACCAGGGTCCAGGCGGGAGCAGCTGCCATGGACAGCCTTGCTCTGCCCCATCCCCCAACAGGACAACGAGCCCCCCGGAGGCAGGGGGCTGGCTCTAAGTTCCCTTCAGCCCCTGGTCCCTGAATGTCCAAGACTGAGAGGTGTTGACCTACAGATGCCTACCTGGAGTCTGCGCCTCGTGGGTTCCAGCCCCAAGTGGGTGTCGCGTGGGAGAGTGGGGAAGGAGCAGTCCCTGCCCTCAGCAAGGGCGGGAGGAAGGCAAGGGGAGACGCCTGGGAGCCATGCGGATGGTGTCAGGAGGACCATAAAAGGTGAGATCATGTGACCATGAATCTGGAGCCTCTCTGGGTTCCAATTCTCAGAAAATGGCACAGGAACACAATTTTTCTGATGATTTCAGAAGCCTTAAATATACCCCCCCCCCCCACACACACCATAGATCCGCATGGTCCCATGTTTAGATGCCCTGGTTTATTTTAACCCTCAGGTTACAGATAGGGAGCCACAGCTCAGAGGAGCGGAGCCACTCACAGCAGCTCATGCAGGGCAGAACTGGACCCGGTCCCGGACTCCTAGGAGAGAAGGAGCCGTCCCAAGGCCCTAAGGTCTGGTGGTGTAACCCTAAGGTCTGGTGGTGTCACCCAACAGGCACTTTGTGGGCTCCAGTGCTTGAAGCCGCGAGGTTGAGATGCCTGGGGACACCGATCCTCGGCCATCAGTCCCCACAGGCTCAGGGCCACCCTGCGTGGAGAACTGGTCTCTGCCACAGCCCATCTGCTCCTCACGTCCAGCCACGGAGGGTATGTGTTTGCTAACTGCCAAGTTCAGATAACACTTACGTGAAAAGTCTGTGAGTTTGTGTGAGCGTCCTTAAGAACCAGAATCCCTGGGGATCCAGAATGGGCAGCCAATGCTGATGTCCAGGGCTCTGCTGTGGTCCCCGACCCGAGCCTGTGCCCCAGGGCCTCTGAGAGAGAAGTGGGTACAGGGGCTCTGGGGCTCCCGAGGTGAGAAGATGCAGGTGGTCTGCAATCGTGTCCTTTTTTTCTTTTTTCTAACAGGCACAGTGGACTAGGCAGTGCTGTCTTCCGGGACGAGTGCTGACGGGAGAGCAGGTCCCTTTGCTCTCTGGCCAGAGCACATGCACAGCGCCCGCTGCTCCCAGGGAATCAGGGCCGGGTGCATGTCACCATCTTGCCCTCCTCACCAGGATGACACCTCAATCCCCAGACAGCCCTGGGACAACACAGCTGAGCCCTGCTGCCACAGCGCCCACCGCAGTGTCGGGGCTGGGGGCTGCTGAAGGGGGAGACCCGCCGGGGCCCCTGGCCACTGCCTTTCTCCAAGCCTCCTCTCCCGCATGCACGAACATCAGGCAACGAGCCCGTGAGGTCCTCCCAAATTAATCCAGGAGGTCATTGTGAGTCCCATCAAAATTCCAACTGTGATCTTAAAAGGTGACCCCTACATTCATCTAGATGACAGAGTATGTGAGGGCAGGTCAGACACTTCAGCAAAGAACCATCGCGGGGCGGGGAGAAAACATTTCTGGCCAACAAAGCGAGCCAGGTGCTGACAGCACCGGAGCAGCCACGGGGCCACGGCAGGACAGAGGCCACGGCCGGCCCCAGGGCCCGTGGCTTGAAGGCCTTTCCTGTGGGGGGGGGGGGACAGGTGGCTCTTGGCCTCAGCCCAGCGACCCTCAGGGGCCCCAAGATGGTTGCAGGTCACCAGGTCTCCTCCAGGTCACCACTGTCTCCCTGCCGGTGCAGAAGCAGTGGTCCCAGTGTCCCTCTTGCCGTTTCTGGAGGCTGCCCAGGAAATGGTGCCCTTACTTGCCCGCAGGTGCAGCATGGCTGTGTGCATTCTTGTTCTAAAATCAGCTCAGTTTTTATTTCAAACATGACAGATAGCAAATATAATGATGTATTACACACACACACACACACACACACACACACACGACGGTACTTTGAAAAGCGTGTGGAGCATGGAATTAAAATGTATTTACTGGGGCCAGCACTGTGGCATAGCAGGTTAAGCCACTGTCTGCAATGGGCACCAGTTCGA